AATAAATTAATTTTATTATTTATTATTTTAATATCCCCAGGGGGTGCCTGGGAGCCTGAAGGACAAATCGACCTCGAATCTTTTAACACCAAAATTTTCTTTGAAATTCTGCTCAGGCAGTCCCAGTCTGTGACCACCACCCTGAGCCACTTCAAAGAAGAGGTAAAAATTCTTATTTTCATTATTTTCACATAGAAAAACCTAAAAATTTAAGTAATTTTCTCTATTCCCATTGTTTCATCAACCCTTTATTTCAGCTTTCATCTGTTTGGGACATGATAAATAAATCTGTCCTCATATTTATTAAATATTTTCTAGAATAAGAATTTTGGATTTTTTTAGATTTAGAATTTTTTAAGATTTCCTATTGGAATAAGAGTGGCTTTAAGGCAAAACATTTTTGTTTTCTTAGAATTTTTTTCTCTTGCTACTGAATCGAGAATTTTTGGAAAGTGAGTTCAGCTTCCAACTTCAACTTTTCATCTGGAAAATGAAAAAAAAAAAAAAAAGGATTTTCTACACTGGGGAGCTGCAGGTTAAATTGAGGAGAGATGAATAAATGAATGGATGAGGATGTTATTTGAATTTTACAGTAAATATTTACATTTTGGTGCTGAAATCAATAGGAGAATATTTCATAGCCCAAATGTGAATGCACCTGGGGCACTCTGCTAAATCCAGGTGAGCTTTTAAAGACAGCAGAGGGAGCTGGAGCACAGCAAGCATTTAATAATAAATAATAATTAATAAATAAGATAAATAATGTGGAAAAATCAGCACTCCCCAATCTGACACAATCGATGTTTTTTCACCAAAAAGTTTGGGGTTTAGGGAAAATTCATCAGCTCCAAATTATCCCTTCACTCCTAATATCAGCTTTTTCTTTTATTTATTTACTCATTTTTTTAATTGATTTCCTTTTTTTCTTTTGTACCTCAGGTAAAAGTTCTGTATCACAGGGTGATGAACGAAATATCCTCGCTGAAAAATCTCTGGATAAAAGCTCTGAGCATCCCAACAAAAACCCTAAAAATCCCAGCAAAAACCCTAAAAATCCCAGCAGAGGGAGAGGATGGTGAGAGCACAGAGGCAGAACAGCAGGTAGAGCTCAGCAAGAATTATAAATGGAATAAATGAAATTCGTACATGGGATAATGAATTTATACCTGGAACAACAAACTGAATTTATAAGTGGATTAAAAAAATGAATTTATACGTGGAGTAATAATTGGAATTTATCCGTGGATAAGAACTTGAATTCTCTTGTGGAAATTTTAGGCACAGCCAAGTAAAATGTCACTTTTAGTACAGCAGATATTTAATATTTTATAGGCTGCAAAACAATTAATTCGTCCATAAACAAGAGGTGACACCCAAAAACTGCAAGGGATCAGAGCAAAATCACAAAAAACTGACACGAGAAAACCATGAAAGAAAAGTCAAAGTTCAAATCATATTTGCGACATTTCTATCGGCTGGGAGGAGGTGAAACTGGGACAATATTGGGATAAAATATTAATATAATATATATCCCATATAATATAATCCTATAAAATATTGGGATGGGAAAGGCTTTGGAGTTGCTGTACGTTTATTAAGTTTGGGACAATCTGCTGTGGATCTAAAAAATTTCAGTTTTTTAAACAAAAGGCAACGAATGCCTTTTTATTACATTTATTATATTACAACATTTATTATGCCTATTTGATTAATTATAAAATGCTATTTCTGACAGACATGCAGCAGCCTCTGTGTGCTCTGTGCTGTTGCAGGTTCCTCTCCCTTGCTCACCACGGGGCTTTGGGAACCCTCAATCCAGATTTTTTGGGCTCTCAAATCACCCATGGGAGCTCATCCCACAAAAACTGATCCCACTGCTCCAGGCTGTGCTCCACGAGCTGGAGGAAAACAGAAAATCCAATTTATCACCTGAATCCCCAGGTAAGAGAGAAGAGAAAGGCATTGCCACTTCCCTTATTTTATTCTTATATTATTGCAACTTGAAATCCAGAATATTCTCCATCTGATAGCTGTAAATCAGATTTTAGATCCATTTTGTTGGAGATCTCCTTGGGATTAATGAGCAAATTAAATTGGTGGAAATTTGCCCCAGGGTGGGCAATCACCTATAAAACTCAGTTTTCCTTGCCAGCCCTCACCAAAGTTAAGGTAAATTAAAAAAAAAAAAATTAATTTCTTGCAGAAAACACATTTCCCTCCTGTTTCTTGTCCAGGCTACTCCTCAAGGAACGTTTTAAAAGCTCCTGCTGCTCACACAGAGTTGTTAAAAAGTGAAGAAAATCCGGAAATCACTCCAGCTCCCATAACATCCCCTGCCCTGCTCCCCTCCCCTGCACAAAGGATCACCCACATGCAGCAAGAAATGCAGAGAAGGTGAGAAATCCTCGCTGACCTCTCGTTTTTTGGTCATAAAAATCAATTATTTGCGGTTTTTTTGTTTTTTTTTTTCGTGAGGAAGTTAATCTTAGGAGGATGAAAAGGAGATCCCTGATCTCCAGGTCAGGAGGGAAGCGCTGATGGCAATAATTTCGGGAGAGCAGAGATGTTTTGGGCAGTGTGTGCACATCTGGCTGCAGGTTCCTCTGGGAGAAGCACAGCTGGGAGAGGGCACATCTGGAAATGTCCCTGCTGGCCCAGGAGATGGGAACTGTCTGCTCCTTGTACCAATCATCCCAGGAATGGCACCGAGGAGCCGGGGTAAGGTTGGCAGGGGAGAATTTCCCCTTTCCCCTCCTCAATTCCTTTCCCTTTTCCCACATTACTTCCCAATATTGGAGCAAGGAGCAGCTTATTGGAAAAAGGGGGGGGAAAAAAAACCTGATTATGGTAAAGCAAAGCAGAACCTAAATCAGTTTTGCTCTCTCAGGGTTAAGGCACAAGAAGCAGTGGCCTCGTTTCCATTAATTCTTGGGTATTTAATGCCACTGATGGCACTCAAATGAACAAAACTTTTTAAAATCCCACTGATGGCACTCAAATGAACAAAATTTTTTAAAATCCCATTGATGGCACTTAAAAGAACAAGGATTTTTAAAATACCACTGATGGTACTCAAATGAACAAGGATTTTATAAACCCCACTGATGGCACTTAAATGAACAAAATTTTTTAAAATCCCATTGATGGGACTTAAAAGAACAAGGATTTTTTAAAATCCCACTGGTGCCACTTAAATGAGCAAGGATTTTTAGAACCCCACTGATGGCACTTAAATGAGCAAAGATTTTAAAATCTCACTGATGGCGCTTAAAAGAACAAGGATTTAAAAAATCCCACCAATGGCACTCAAATGAACAAAATTTTTTAAAATCCCATTGATGGCACTTAAAAGAACAAGGATTTTTAAAATCCCACTGATGGTACTCAAATGA